GAGCAAGAAAAAAGAAAAGCAACCAAAATCGTCACTTATCCCCTTTTATGACTAGCTTCTTCAAATGATCTGCAGTGATATTAAAATTTTACTTACTGTTTCTACACTACTGCTGCTTGTAAAAGCATTATTGTTGTGTGTACATATTTATTAAACACATTTTGTCTAAATTTAAATGCATTTACTTGGATTATTCATGGCCATGTTCTTAGAGTAATGGGAAACAAAGCTCATTGTGAAATGCAAACACTCTAGTAAGAGGTAGGTCTGATGTTCTGTTGATATTTTTAGGAGAAATTAAAGGTAGATGCTGACCATGTTATATGGAGGGGCAGGGCAAAGGTCACAAGATGGTGAACAGTAGAGAAGGAAATGAAATTGATGGTAAAACTCAAAAGGATATGAAAGGATTACACTGCCGCCCTAAATGCCACATGGCGTAATGGGTATGAGTGAATGTGTGTGGTGATCATATCATTGCTGAACAAAATGAGTACAATGCAACTTGCCTCTGAGCCCAATAAGCCCTCCAGTGATTCCACCTGAAAGTGTTCCATTTTTCCAGTCACTCTTCCCACGAAACTGTAAAATACATATATTACAGTATGCTGAAATGACATACAGCTGGCCACCTAGGCCAAAAGAACCTACAATGCTATGTATTGAACTTCCATGAAGTGCATAGAGAAGTACAAGGCACAGCTGACTACTTCTCTATGCAACTTTCTAGTGTTCTTAGAAATTCACAATTCCTTGTGTAACTGAAGGGGCAATCAGGCTTGTTAACTAATCCTTAAATCAAAAAAAAAATAGTTACAGGTTACAACCAGGGAACTGGTAATAAGGGAAATAGAAAATGAATTCTGTAGTTGTGGTCAAATGATGACACTAAATGCAAGTCTAGTGTTGCTCTTGATGGGCATAACAGAAAGAATGAAAGACAAACCTCATTTTACATGTAATTAAACTTAAAGGGTATCAAATAGCGCTCAAGACATAGTCCAGTGAGGATCAAAAAACAAGGTAAAAGGAAGGCGAATGTTTCTAGTTTCAGTGGCATGAAGTGACTAAGAGTATTTCTACTCCTGCCCTGGATGGGATGCTAGTCCATAGCAGGGTTACCCCCCAAAATTAAGTTCACCAGTACCCAATTTTACAGCTGAAGGAGAGAGGCACTGTGAGAGATGTAAAGTGTCTTGTCCAAGAACAAAAACACAATGTTCCTGGCCAGTACTGACTAAAACCCAGTCTGCTTGATCTGGAGCCAAGTGCAGTAACCATGAGGCCACTGTACCACTGATGAAATAACAAATGATGCCCTGTTTGCATGAGAAACAGAATATGTAAATGATTCTGGTACTTGTGGATGAATGCCACCACTGTGCAAACCACTTATTTTGAGACAACTGGCAGCACAGTATTGCATTTTCATACCAAAATTTGCAATAATAACTTAATAAGACTTACAGATTCTACGAGGCATTCTGTTCCAGAAAACATGAGGCCCACAACACCAAAATTTTTGCCATACGACACTGCACGGGACTTCATGTCTTTGAGGATTGCCTTGGCAGACTGATCAGCGACACCAGTCATGGGGTTTGGCATGGAAGAGTCCATTCCAGCTGTGAACAAGCCAAACACAGCACCAAGACCATATCCTGAACAGAATGTAGTAAGAGTGTTTTACACACGAAAAAAACTAATCAAGCCTTCCTTCCAATAATGAATTCACTTATTTGATTTCATTATTTGTTTTAATCTTCCACATGTCAACTTTTGATTTCAGTGAATCTGGCTTGACCCGTTGGGCACATGAGAATTTTAAAGTTTCCCTAGGTGATTTCTAGAAAAGTAAACAATGGGTGGGGGGCTCCCGGGTGAAAAGGTTGAGCGTGCATGACTTTTTGTTTACTTGCCCTGCCAACTTTTTCTTCCTTCTTCTTTCTTCTTTTATTTTTTTACCTAAATTAAGGGGGACGGGGCCCTTGGCCCCCTGGGCCCATCCCCTAGTTCCGCCACTGTATATGACCCCTAAAAGATACCTCTTTTGAAATGGACAGACAGCTTTTTTAAATCTTTTCTGCAAGTTTATACAGGCAAAAACTAACGATAGATAAATCCGACGTTTCGGCGACATCTTGGCGCCATTGTCAAGGGAAACTAATTAAATATGCGATTTCAAGAGT